TCAATGATTTGTGGGTATTCTAGTGTTGGAATGATTGAGCAATCACTTGTCCTGTTTGATGCAATGAAGTTAGAAGGTTTGAGACCGAATGATTTCACGTGGAATGCGCTGATAGCAGGGTATGCTAGAAAAGGACTTTGTGATGGAGCTTTTGCATTGTTCTCTAGAATGAGTGAAGAGGGTCTGCCTCCAGATTTGGTTACTTGGAATGCAATGATTTCAGGATTAGTTCAAGGTCAATGTGCTGTTGAAGCTCTGGAGGTGTTCCGGGACATGTTGATTGCCGGAATTAAGCCTAACCATGTGACTGTTACAGGGCTGCTTCCTGCATGTGCATTGATGAATTCAATTCAAATAGGGAAAGAAATCCATGGCCTCATAAACAGGATGGTTCTTTATATGAATGTCTTTGTCACTAGCGCTCTTATTGACATATACTCCAAATGTGGAAGTGTTAAAGATGCTCAGAATGTGTTTAATGAGATTCCTATTAAGAATGTTGCATCATGGAATGCTATGATAGGATGTTATGGGAAGCATGGCCTGGTTGATTGTGCGATCCAACTGTTTGAGACGATGCAAGATAGGGAAATGCAGGCAAATCAAGTCACTTTAATCTGTGTTCTTTCTGCTTGTAGCCATGGTGGATTAGTTGAGAAAGGTTTGACAATTTTTAGGTGCATGAGAGAAATGTATGGCATTGAAGCCAGCAAGGAGCATTATGCTTGTGTCGTGGATCTTCTGTGTCGTTCTGGAAGGGTGGATGACGCTTATAGTTTTGTGAAAGAAATGCCAATTCGAGCCACAGATTCAATTATTGGGGCTTTCTTCAATGGGTGTAAAGTTCACAACAGAAGAGATCTAGCTGAAAAGATAGCAGAAGATATCTTGAGAATGAAGTTGAATAGGCCCGGAGGTCTTGTGACGCTGTCCAATATTCATGCTTCTGAGGGAGAATGGGAAGAGGTTGAGAATGTAAGGAAGATGATGAAGGAGAAGGGAGTCCACAAGAACCTGGTTTCAGTTGGGTTGAGGAGAAGAACGAGTTCTCCAAAGTGAGACTAGGGAAAGCAAGCACGGGAATTTGAGATTGCAAGTAGTATATATATGATGATACGATTGCTTTATTCCCTTCTCAAAATCGTCCATAAATTTAGTGAAAACAAAAAGTGTTTATCGCCATCTCAAAATCGTCCATACATTTACAGAAAACAAAAAGTGGCAGACTGTTTAGCAAACTTCAGCTGCGATTCTGAGTCTGACCAATTGTTTTCTCTACAGCTGGTCTTCCTCAACAAACCAAGGTTTACTTCCCTTGATAAAGTGAGCTTATTGAATATCAGTTTGGTATCATTCCTTTCAGCCAGCACAACCAAACACTGGAAGCCCAGTTTGGGCAAGCTATAATATGGAACTGTCTAGAATCAATATGACACAGCTGTAGTTGTTCAACTTTCAGATGACTTAAATTTTTGAAATGGCTAAAGCGCAAAATGAAGTTCCAGAACGTTTGAAACTTAAGTGAACTTTGGACTCTGAATAACTTAATCACTTCACTTGATCACTTTGTTGCTGAATCATGTGGAAACGGAGTTTTGCATTTTCAATTGTGGCTACAGTAAAAGATTATGTTCCCTTGTTTGTTGTTTTTTTGTTTTCTGATTCAAAGGAACATAGAGAAACAAGCTTTTGGATGAATATTTACCAAAAAAGTTGTGTACTCATTTTTTTATGTCTTTACTTCTCGGTTGCTTGGCAAATTTACATGTACANAGGTACTCATTTTTTTATGTCTTTGCTTCTCGGTTGCTTGGCAAATTTACATGTGCAACTCATTTTAATTGCTAAGTATTTTTCCCCTCTTTCAATTAAGCATTTTTTTCAGGTCTCAGGATCCTCTGGTTTTTTGCAGTACAGCGTGCAAGCAAGGTCCGAGGGGAACAAAACTATAGAAAACCTGAAGACGTAGATGCTGCCACAGTGGCTGATTATTTGGTCAGTATTGTAGCATTTGGTTAGATTTTTCCTTCAGAATGCACATGGGTCTGTGTGTGTGCTTTCAGATTTTTCTAGGTCATATATTTTCAATTGATTCTGCACTTTCAGATGTCTATCTAGTATAGGATTTTCATGGGTGATCTGGTGCTTGCTTTTCCCCTGCTAAAATTTCTCCACTAAAGATTAAATCACATTCAATCTTCTCAGGACATGTGCTAATGAACACGCCATTTATTAGTATTAGTGACTTCCATCATATTATAGGTAGATAACTGAACTCAACACAATTCAACTCAGCCTTTATCTCAATATAATAGGTAGATATAACCACTTTTTTTTTTTTTTTTTTATCCTATAAGCACATAATTGGATGCCCTATGCTTGTGTGGTTTGCATTTAGTACTTTTTTCTTTTTGTGTACCAAGCCTTGTAACTACATATTTCCTGTTATCTGAATTATTTTCCTGGTACTCCTTTCTCTTTTGTTTTTCACATTGTTCCCTCTTCTTCCATCACATGCTTGAATGGCCAATCTTTCCAATAAGATACTTTTGCAATTTATGGGTTTACAGCCCCTTTGGCAGTTTTAACAGCCTTGTGGCAAGCACAATCTCCCCAGTTGAAACTGATTTTTAGGGCTGAGAAGCTGGCGATAGGAAGAGGAGAGGCGCTAGATGAAGAACCAGATGGGTTTTTAGGGCTCAAGGGAAAAGGGGAGATTTGCTGCTAAGGGGGTTCGATGTATAGACCTCATTAATTGGGACGGGCTGCCTCCTCGTGTTTCGTTTTTATCCGTTTTTTAAAACTACTTTTTTTCCATTTTCAAAAATGGGCGCTATTTGCAAAACGACTAGAGAAAAACTGGAAATGGTTATGGAACATGTTTTCATTTTCAGTTTTCACAAAAATTGAAAACAAAAACAGAAAACCAAAAATAAAAACGTTGACAAAAGGACCGGTAGCACTTCACTTGCCATAATGATCAGCCGTATCGACTCCTAAAGCAAAGGAGGGATACTTGGTATGACCAAGATCAGTTTTTTGCTGGAAACCTCTGCTATTAATTAACTTTCCTTGGATTAATTGTTTGGTTACTGACGAGTGATTAGCAGCCCTTGTTTGACTGCATGAGAGCAAACGGGTGATTAGTCTCAAAGCTACGAAATGTGGGGTTTTCTGATCCATTCCCAAGAATATTGAGTTGCTTGATATAAATTATTTGAACTTCAGTCATCGAAGATAGTAGTAAGAAAACTTAGGATCCCAAGCTTTATGACATTAATTTTTGAGGATAATATTATGGTACCATGTTGTTGCTCTTTACCCCCTATGGTATAAAAATAAGCACATAATCCCCTTCTAGTTCTGGACTAAAGTGCCACTGTTACAAATTCCGCCTAAATTAACGGAATTTGTAGTGCATGGACCCAATTAGAGAGTAGGTGTATCTTACACTTTAAAAGGTCAAACTTTAACAAACATGGACAATACCTATGTAATTTTATGAAAGGATTAAACTGTAAAAACTCCGTTGTACTTAAGGGATTTGGCAGACAACCTCCCTCAACGTCAAACCGTTACATTAAATCTCTCTAAACTATAACTTTTTTATGCAAAACAAGAAGGACCTCGTATATTTAACATCATGTACCACACACGCGCCCAAAATAAATTGGGCGGCTAAATTTGTCAAATTTTTTATCCAAAATTTTAAAAATATCCTCACTCTTTTCTTTTTCCCCTCTCTCTTTCCCATTTACTTTGTTTCTAGGGATGGCAGTGGACTTAGGAAGGGGGCGGGGGAGTAGTCTCCACCCCTGTATCCGCCTTAGCCTTAAAAATATTCTTCCACTCTCGATAGCAGAGAGAATTATAATCTTCGTCCTCATCCATAACAATTAATTTCTATGATTTAAAAAAAACAAAAAATCTCACAAATGGATTTACAAGAAAAAAGAAAATTCATTATATAACAAATGGATCAAACATAAAAACTTACAAAAATAATATGTATAACAAATGTGAGTTGCACTTAATTATTTATATATATATATATATATTGTGGGTTTGGCGGGACGGAAATGAGTTTCAGTCCATCTCCACCTCCATCCCCGTACAAGTTTATATAGGTATTCTCGTATACGTCCACTATCCAATATGTATAGTTCATCTCTGATTCAAACGAAGCGGATTTGGATGAATACCCGTTTTTCTCCAATCCACTGGCATCCCTATTTGTTTCTCTCTTTCTCCCCTCATCACGGGTGAACAGTCCGCCACCATCACATCATCAATCATCTCTCTCTCTCTCATCAAAACCTTCACTGCCCATCACCGCAATCAAAACCCATGGAAACAAAACCCTACCCTGAACATGAATGACAACTCATCTCAAAACAACCCATGGTACTTCACTATATTTGTGCCCACCATTGTGCTCTATACAACCACAATGGCAAAGTTATCATACGATTTCATTTTAGTAAGATTTTTGAATTTCTTTTGTGAAATGTGACCCAATTTTTTGAATATTCTTTCATTTCTCTGTGTACTTCGATTGAGTCGTCTGGAGGGATTAATGGTGATGTTGGTTTGTTTGTGATGATTAGATTAAGTTTATGTGAAGGTAAGGGTATAGAGAGAGACGGGTTTGAGGTAGAAGAAGGATATTGGAATGAAAATTAAGTGGCTAAATAAAGTTATTTTGGTATTTTTATAAATTTTGTAAGAGACATCTACCATGACACTTCATTTTTAGGGTAAATTTTATAATTAGTCCCTAAACTTTGACTTGAGTTTTAATTTGAACCTTGAACCTTCAATTGTCCCAATTTAATTCCTCAACTATTATTTTCATCTCAGTTAAGTACTTTTGTCAATTNATAATTTGTACCCTTATTTTTCAGTTGAGCGGGTTTAGTATAATAGTTAAAACTTGGAGAAAATTGTGACGCCCAAAAGCCAGAGGTCTTTTCTCAAACCGTTGATCACCCATCAACTAGTAGAATACCTACCATCTAACTCAATACCATAGCATTACACCCCATTTATTAGGATCCATAATTTACTGAAATTTGGGCAAAGCCTCCTTTATATGGGAAGCTCTGCCCAATACACAACCTGTACATACAATACTCATATGATTATTCTCAGTTCCAACATCCCAAAGTCTAAGTATTAGATATTAATCATTCATCCACAGCCATCCTTATATAATATTCATTTATTAAAAGAATAAATGTCTATATATAAAGTCCTATTACAAGCTTTTAGTAAAATACAAGTTTTGTACTTAGATTTATACAAGGCCAAAATATGGATCTACACAAGGGACTACAAAATTCATAACGAGAGTCACAACCTTGCTCTGTCCTCAAAACGGGCCCATAAGAGGGCCGTCAACGAAAGTTCATCCAATACCTAAAAAATGTTCCCACAACAGGGTGAACTGAATTCCAAGGTATCTCTTATGGAGAATACGTCTCAATCCCAATGCATATGATATGAATGTAAACCAAAAACACACTAAACATATATCTCAAGTAACATACAAATGCTACCATGCAAGCCAAATATGAATAATGCTTCATGAATGCTTGTTCTATAGCGAACCCCCTCCCGGGTTCCCATATACGACACATGATACAATGTCATAACATGAACAAGACATTTCAAGCCCCCTCCATTGATGCTAAGCATCCAATGATCACATATCAACACTTGTGTCTTTCTTCAGTAGGTAATTTATGGACATCACACCAACGGGCTACCAAATTGATACATCATTCAAGAGCATCCCACATCCTATTCCAAATATACCGACACACTTTTTTGAAATCTCATCATTGAACAAGTGCGTGAACCAGGTAATCGGCCCTTGCACCCGAGGAAAAATATAACCTTTCTTGCTATACTTTACACATTTTTCATGCAATATTCTGTGTGACTCAATTAGATGTTTGTCCGATTTTCCCAAGCTAACCAATCAACTCACCATGTGGTAATTGATCCAACTCATTCACACACATTTACACTCATGTCAATGCCCACGAATGTAGTATAACCCGTGAATATGCAATGTAATGTAAAATTACAATTCTATTCCATCACAATGCTAACTATATCATGAGGCATATAATAACATTTCATAATCATCACTGAGCATGTTATAAGAAATATCAATTCAAATAACACACTTGAACATACTTTGAATCTTCTTGAAGGGTTGAAGTTTGAGATACATCACATTTATTGTGAGGCGAATTTAGTGGCTGATTATCTAGCTAACCAAGGAGTAAAGGAACATGCTTATAAGGAAATCATTTCAACTGATTCTCTTCCATCTGAAGTACATAATCTGCTGCAACAAGATCAAAGACATGTTTTTTTTGAGAGCGAGGAATGTTGCTCAATAATTTAGATGAGTTTTTTGCTTTAATTGGTCCATTTAGTGAGGAATTATTCAGCTGGACTGGTCATGACACTATTCAGCTTGATTCTTTTGCCTCATGTCTGAGATTTCATAGTTATGTCAGCTGGTTTTCGAATTTACCTTCAGNCTCCAAATATACCGACACACTTTTTTGAA